TGGTTCGTTTAAATTTTGGTAACAGTTAACCGGACCGGTCAAACCCGGTCCACATAAACAGTACCGTGTACCGGTTAAACCGGCCCGGCCCGGCCCGGTACAATCTCTTTTTTTTGTTTTTTTTTAATTTTTTGAATTAAGTGGGGCCCACTAACCGTTGGCAACGGTAAGACCTGACAGGCATCCGTTGCCCAACGGGTTAATTGTATTAATAACCTCTTTTTTCTTTAAAATTTAACCTTTTTTCAATTTACAAAATTAATCTTCTCTAAAACTATAAATACACCCCCTCTTCTTCATTTCTTCACTCAACTCTCATTTCTCAATCTCAATTTCTCTCATTCTCCAATTTTCAAAATTTCAAGTCTCAATCTCAAATTCTCAATTCTCAAATCTCAATTCAATTTAAATCATGCCTCGTACTTCTAGAGTGCGCTCATATGTTTGGCAACACTTTGAGGTGGTAGAAGAAAATGAAGAAGGTCAGAAAGTAAAGTGCAAGAACTGTGATCAAGTCTTAAATTTTCGTTCAGAGTCTGGCACAGGAAGTTTAAGGAGGCATATCAAGTATTGTCTTGAGCGTCCTCCGAAAATTCGTATTTAAGATTTTAAGACAATTTGTGTTATTTTAAAATTATTAGACGTATTTATGCTTAATGTTTTAGTTTGTTAGATTAATTTGAAGTATTGTTAATTTATTATGCATGAAAATTTAGTTTTACTATTTTTTGTTAATTTACTTTTTAAATGCAAACTTTAGTTTTGAATTTTGAAATAAATGTAGCACTTGCAATTTATATTAATACTTTTGTATTAATATAACTTGTAATCTTTAAATTAATACAAAGTATTAGTATAACTTACAATAGTTATAAAAAATATAAAAAAAAATACACTAAACCCGGCCCGGCCCGACCCCCTCAACCCGTACGGTTCAATTTTTATGGATGAACTCGAACCCGTTAAACCCGTTAAGCCTCAACCCATAACCGGTCCGGACCGTAACCCGTACGGGTCCAAAAAATAGCAACTCGGCCCGATCCACCCGGTTAACACCCTTAGTCTAACTAGAAGATGCTCTAACCAGTAGTGACCAAGGAAAAAGGCCTAACTTTGGATCATATGGTCGCATATCACTTGTTGTGATTGGGACCTATCAACAAAATTCCCATAAATTAAAAAATTGTGAAAGGTGTTTGTTATTAGCTGTCACCATTTAAATATGGCCCCACTAACCACCATGACCACCGTAATATCATATGATTATATGATTGCCCCTAAATAAAGGAAAAATAGTAGTGCAAATCATTAAATTTTCTTTAAAAATAGTGCAAACCATTAAATTCTCTTTAAAAATAGTGCAATAATTCCCAGCCCTTGCTCCCATTAATGAATTAATATTTTTACTTTAAGTTTCAGTATCTCACACATAATGATAGAATTAAAAGTTTAAGTAAGAGGATGTTTGTGCTTCGGGTTTTTTATTGTTCTTTTCACCACTATTGTGACTATAGTTTCCTGTCTATTAAAAATAATTTTTTACAAAGGTTTGCGTACACCCTACTTTTCCTTGGATCCCCCTACTTTTCCTTGGATCCCACCTTTAGGATTACATGAGTTTTGAGTTTGTTGGTGTAACAAAAGGGTGTCTGCATTATTAGTGTAATTTCATCTAACAACAAATTTTTCACATTCTGTCTACTTCATCTACCCTTAAGTTAGTAGACACTTATCTTCTTGTTAAGCTGCTGACAGTTAAGACACAATAAAACTTTACTCCTTAAAAATGGATTTATTGTGAAAAAAATCTAGGATAGGGTAAGGCTGCTACATCCTACCCTCTTTAGATCCCATTTATAAGAATACACTGAAATGTGGGAATACACTGGAATGTTTATTGTTGTATTGTGAAAAGAAATGAGAAAGGTAACATGTGTGATATAGAACATGGATAGATATGCCGACTCCAAACTATTTCAAATGAAAAACATGAAACTACACGTGATACTAATAACCCTGATAATTGGAATGACTTATTTTAAGTGTTTTTAAGCCAAATAATTTTATAGTGTTTGGATTAAGTAAAAAATTGTTTTTAAGCACTTTATTTTTAAGCTAAAATGACAAAAATAAGCTAAAAGCCAAAAGTTATAATTCCTTAACTTATGTCTTACTTAAAAGTCACTTAAAACAAACCATCCAAACGGGCTCCTACATTTTCTTATCATAAACAGTCGTGAGGAACAATAAAACTCCCAAAAGTACATTAACAACCAGAAAAAATGGAGATTCTTTGGGGACATTTGTTGAAGAAAAGTTTAAAAAGATGACCTATTTGAACAGAGAGTTTTAAAATGTGGACTAAATTCACGGTAAACTGTAATTAGCTCTAACAACATAATGAGCCCTCGAACATTAGCCAATCTATAGTTTGCCACCCAAAGAAAAGTCTTTCTCCACATTATCAGACACTGCAAACCATAAATTGGCAATGCAGCAGTAAAATTACTAAAATGCCCATCCACAAACCCATGATTTATCAAATGCCAAAAGACAAGACATTGACCAAAATGTTGCAACAGTTGGATTTGCATTAGATCCCATCACCATCTTACTTTTTCCAATTTCTACAACAGCCCCAAAACTAACCAGAAATTGCAAATTGAACCCAAGAAAAACAGAAATTTATACCTTTCAGCTCCCTCTACCAATCATCTCCTTGTACCTGAGAATTGAATCCAACCTCTGTAATTTCAACTGTTGCTTGAACTTGTTGATGAAATCATCTGCTTTCGCATCAACTTCGTTAATGTCTCCATTGTTAGTCTTAACATTCCTTTCCCTTGTAGTTGCCGGCCGGCGAGCTTCAACAATGGTCTCCTCTTCAAAATGTGCAAATGGAGATTTCATGCTTGCTGATTTCTTCATCTTCGTCGGCAACTTTATTGGAGCTTCACCAGCCGATGGATTTGTATCTGATCTGCTCCTACTCACGTGACGTTCCTTTAACTGACTGTACACTTCATCCAAGCTCTTCAACTCACCTTCTTCTTCCTCTTCTTCTACCTCATTTTCTTCATGGGTTTGCTTAAAATCGAAATGGGTGTCTATATTTTCAAGTTCTTGTTCATGGGTGTGTTGAAAAATGTACTGGGTCGATTTCTCTTGAATATTTTCTTGATGGGTTTGCTGAAAGTTGAAATCTTGATCCATATTTTTGAGTTCTTGTTCGTGGGTGTGTTGAAAAAGGTACTGGGTTTGTGCGTCTGGGAGATTCTCTAGATGGGTTTGATGGAAATCGTACTGGGTTTGTGTTTTTTGAGCATTTTCATGATGGGATTGGTTGAAAATATACTGCGTTGTTTCTGGTACTATGGTAGTATGTTCTGGAGCTGCTTCGAAAATGTAATGTGTTTGTGGTTCAAAGGTAGTTTCTTGATTATGGGGATTGTCAAAGTTGTAATCTTTAACAGGTTCTTGAGATCTATAGTTATAGAAATTTATGGATTTGATGCGTTGAAGAATAGAAGGAGATCTAGTGAGTTTATAAGGTTGTTGCTCTTGTTGTTGTTGTTGTGACTGATTTTGTGAGTAATCTTGTTCTTGTTGACGTTGTTGTTGTTGTTCTTGTTTGGGAGGGTGATTTGGTTTTTGGTTAGCTAAAGAAGAAGTAAAAGCAATGGTAGCAATCATAACATTGAGAAGAACAAAAAGGACAGTGGGAGTGAACCAGCTATTCATGGATGTCCAGATTGAAGAATACACAGTAGATACAGAGTCATCAAACATGGTGAATGAATGACTTGTGATTTTCTAGAGAGAGAAGTGAAGAATGACTTTAGAGAGAGGGAGAGTGGAAGTGAAAGTGGAGAACAAAGATTGGAGTGTAGTGTAGAGTTTGGGTGATTAGTAAAAGCAAAGGAGAAATGGGAGCTGGAAGATGGGAAGTGGTGGGTGGGGATCAATCAGGGCATGGGGATGAATGGTAGTGGGGTTCGTTGGTTTTTACATCTCGCATGGGTTTTTTTATACTCATAATTTTTTTTGTTTTATTTTTGTCAAAACAATAAATAAATTATTACTACGCGTTTTATATTTTCAAATGTGTTTGTTTACTTTTTAAATGAAATAAATTAAATTTGTAATATGAGAGTTAGTTTAGTTTTAAGTTGTTCTAATCCATCTATTTATAAGTAGAAATAACCATTAATACTTGTATTAATATGGCCACTAAACTTAGGGTGTAACTTTTTCTCCAACCATGTGTACTAAAATGCTTGGGGTCGTCTTTCTAATCCATCTATTTATGTTTATTATATATATATATATATAATTTCGTACAAATTAATGAATAGATCATCGTATAACTGCATAGGAGTATTATTATGAAAAGGATATAAGTCAAAACATTATTTTAGAAAGCTGACTCCTTAACTAAGCATGGTTTGCAGATGGAGGCTTCACCAATCATCACCGTTTTTTTATCAACTATCGCCTTTTGTACATCAGATGCTTGAAGACGACCGTTCGGGAACTCTTTTTGTTAGAAACCTACCCCCGCAATATCAGACTAGAACCATCGATGGGCTTTTTTGTTACCCTCCCGAGACGGATGCTACTAATAGTTTACCCCTAGCACCCCTTTTTGTTACAACCCATCTAGAGGTCGCTCCCCTAAAATGTTATTTTTGATGCCTCCTACTCCTTGTAACGATCCACCTTAATATTATATAATATAACATCTTTTGCACCAATTTTTTTTTTTATGTGGTGTGTCTCTTTAGCCAACCAACCAAACCTCTACTAGCAAATTACTCCCCCGTCTCATATTATGTGTCGTATTTTTTTTTTACATACCCCTTAAAAAATATTAATTAGGAAAAAGATTGGACTATTCTATCCTTATTTATGTCATAAGATATAATCTTTTTTCATTGAATATTTATTTTATTTATGTGTTATCTCCATCTTCAAGAACAATTATTACTAAGAGTAAAAAGGAAAAATATAATCAATTTTGTTTTGAACTTCTAAAATGACAAATAATTTGAGATAACTATTTTTAGTAACCACGACTGCTAATACGAGATAGAGGGAGTACTACTAACCACTTCTGAAATTGTTTAGATATAGAAATGTATCAATATTAAACATCCATTTTCAAAATTTGAGCAAAACAAGAAGAAAAATTAGTATTCCCTCTGGTCCACAATAAGTGACAATTTACCTGTGACACTTCCATTAAGAAAATATAAATTCCTAGAGAAAAAAAGATGTATTCACTAAATTAATCTTAATTAATTGTTACATTGACACATTGGAATATGTAAATAAGGGCAATTTTGGAAATATAAAATTAATTCCTTCTTGATTCCGTAAAAAGATACTTATTTTGGATCAAAATAAAAAGATAAAATATCACTTATTGTGAACCGGAGGGAGTACTAGCTCATAAGAAATTTGTTATACGTTGTGTTGTTTAAGTATTGGACGCTTAGCACTATCAATAGTACGAGTCATCCTTAACAGGGGCAGATGCACTTTATACACGTGTATAATTATTACGCAAATTACTGCATATAAACAGAAATAACACCGCCTGAAAATTCTTTATCCGTAGCCTAACGGTTAAGCGACTGACTATCATGTTTGAGATCAAGGTTCGATCCCAATAGGCTCTGAATTTTTAATGAATTTTAGAGCTCTTTTTGTTTCTAAAAATGGACGTCCTACGGGATCGAACTCCTGATCTCTACATAGATGAAAAGAATTAGCTAAACCAATAGGCTAAGGCTTGGTTGTGTGAGCTAAAACGAAATATATATATATTTCAGTTATTTGTGCCTCTCTGTCTCTTTAGCATCGACACCGCTTGCAAAAAATTCTGCGTATGCCCCTGATCCTTAATATGATTTATACAAGGAAAATATAATCGTTAACCTACAATTATATTTGAATCTTAAATTACAAAAAGGCAAAATACATAAGTATCCACCTAACCTATGGCCCAAATCCCCCCTTACACACTTTCTGTGGACGATAATAATATTACACATGCAACCTTTCTAAAGTGTAGCTAGTACACACCACTTTTTTCTTGACCAGTTTTTCAAAATATGTGTGAGGTCATGCACCAATAAGGTCGTGACACGTGTCCTAACTCAAGAAAAAAAAGAAAATACTAAATTTACACCAATTGATAATATTTAAAAGAAAACAAATAAA